CCTCTTCAAAATCCTACGATTAGTTTCGTCAAAATTTTACTATAGATTTATTATAGTTTCGGCAGAGTTTCGGCAGTTTCGGCATTTATAATAAGTTTTGGCAGTTTCGCCTTTCTCCAAAGTTTCGCCAGTTTTTTAATATAACTTTAATATAGTTTCGGCAGAATTTCGCTTTTCGGCAAAACGCCATCTTGCCTAAACCCCTAGGTTTCGGCAAGCAACCTTACTACAAAGTATACCACTTGAGGTAAACAACTGTACTATCGGTGCTAGGTAATCGCAGGCTGTAGTGGCCTTTGAGTGAGACTTAGTACCTAAAATGGTGGTATGGAAGGGTACTAGATGGTTGATGTTACCTGTCGAAAGTCCTCCATGAAAGTAGATGCTCTCTAAAGGTCGTTAAATAAATTGAGTATCAGTATTATACAATGGGTATAGGATGAATAGGCCGCGTGTACCTAGCTTCAGATCAGCCTAAAAATGGCCCAATGGGGGATGTCTTCTATAGTGGTGCTGTTACCTGAGGAATTAAGTACTCGGTATAATAGTGACCCATTGAAGATGATAGGACACAGACCCGAGATTAGTCTCATAAGAGGCAATGGGTGGTCTGGCCGTAAATACTTGCAAAGGAAAAGGATAAAACTACCACCATTTGATCCGTCTCAGTGAGACGATTCTAACAAGCTATGATACATCTTTGTACGATTATTAGATGCCAAGTTATTTAATATATTCTTTATATAACTGTGATTATAAATGGTTTTTTTTAATATAAGTTTTTTGAGGATAGGTGTGATAGTGACTATAGATAGATTATAACTATATAGGATAGATTTTAATAATAAAGTGTTTTGAATATTCAACTGGTAAGACTATATACAGTCAACTCTGGTTATAACAAACCTGTTTGTACCGAAACCTCGTTATACCGAATCATAATTTCCAGAACTGATTTTTTATAAATAATTTTACTGGATATAATGAACTTTTATAATAAAACACTATATAACGCATCCGAACCAAACTTAATCAGCCCCTATATATCAGCTATATAATAACTTTATACTTTCTATAATGAACGGTCATGTGACTATATAGTAGTCCAGGCCAATTTTATAGTGCTGGCCAGAATTACTAGTAATTTTTTCAAAAATTTATGTTAAAAGAAATTATAATTTTGACCAGCATTACAAATTTGGCCTAAATTACCTATAAAGAAAACTAGTTTGGTATATTATATAACGAATTCACTATATACTGAACTAAACCTTCTGGAACGGAAGGTTCGTTATATCCAGAGTTGACTGTAGTAGAATGTGACTATAACGGGCGTAACTATAGAGGAAGTTGACTGTAATACTTAATTTGAAAAATGTTTAATATTAAAAAATATAGTAAGTATAATTAACTTTTAGTTTTTTACTTCAAAACACTGCGGTGATCATTACCATTGGCCGGAATTATCAAATTTTACCGGCACTATATTTTTTTAATGCTGGTCAATTATCATAATTTCAGTCACTGGTGATCATCACCCCGGTGATAGTTAGAAAAATTCTTATTTTTATATATAGATTTATTTGTTTACTATTTACAATCAGACCTCTATATACCGATACTGTTGTTTTGGGAAAAATTATCGGTATATTAAATTATCGGTACATAACCATCATCAGTGAATCATAATGCAATTCTTGCCAGCATTATGTAAACTCTGGATAGCTAATATATTAAAATATCATGTGATTTGGATGGAACCTTTATGTTAACTCTGGCCAAATTCATAGTGTTAACCCGAATTAATACCAATGTAATCTAAAGTATCGGTACATCTTACTATGTATTAATTATAAAGGGGCAAAGAAAAGTATCAGTACATGTTATATCATGAAACCATATATAATATCGGTACAACGAGATTTTTTTATTAATTGTGAAATGGGACATAGAAAATTTATCGGTACAGGCAATTATCGGTACATAGGATATCGGTACATAGAGGTCTGACTGTAGTAAAAACTATATGATTTTAAATAGATTTTTTTTAATATATGTATACTTTATTTAATATTGAATTCATGGGAATGGAGAAAGAGATTTTCTGAATACCGATAATAGAATATAAAAATAAATGATAGATATATATTATATAAATACCATCTAAAAAATTAAATTTACCTACCTAACTAGCAGATGTAAACATTAAACAAATGAAAATATAATTAATATTTAGTTATAAATAAAAAATTATATTTTTCTGTTATTTTTATTTTAATATATAAATAATAATAATAAATATAGCTTTAGCCCTTCTTTTTTTTACTAGATTTTTGTTATTGTTTAATTCCACTTTCAGTATAAACAGAATTATTGAATTATCATAATTCTAGTCAAAATTATGTTATAGGTGCGGTGTAGCCTAGTTTATGTAACGTAACATTTGATTAATAAGCCACCGAATGACGGAATAAATATTACGTTCAATATGTATCTGTAAAGACCAATAGATAACTTAGTTGATCGAAGAAAAATTCATAATGGCTGATGATTTTGACGTCGAAGCTATGCTAGAGGCACCTTTTCATAAGGGCCAGGTGATATTTTGTTTTTTAAATTTGTATCATCGTTTTCTATGCCTTTTAACAAAATTTTCTTTTATAGGAAATTAATGAGTTCACTACAAATGGTAAAGCTGAAAAACAAAACAAAGAAGAAAGGAAAAGGTATTTAAGAAGTTTATTTGTAATAGTAACTTTGACAAATATACTCATGCTCATAGTTTTCGATATTCAGTGAAGAACGAAGACGCCACCGAAGTTCTTCACGAACCTCTAGTCACCGCCATAGATCACATTCAAGATCTCGTCGCTCACGTAAATCACGTTCTAGATCACGAGATAGACGTAGAAGACATCGGAGTAGGACTAGGTCGCGTGAGAGACGAAGAAGAAGTCGAACTCGTTCTAGAGAAAGAAAGAGGAGAAGTCGTAGTCCACGTAGAAGAAGTCGTAGCAGAAGTAGATTTAGGCATGTTTATAATCAAATATAATATAATATTCATTTGTAATTAAAATTTGCTGTAATAAAAAGCTTTGGCTTATTAATATATTTTTTTCTTTTATCTAGTGACCGACGCCGGAGATCACCAACTCCCCCTTTAGATGAAGAGGAGCGTGACAAGCGAACAGTTTTTGTCATGCAACTGGCTGCACGTCTTCGTTCTCGTGAACTTGCTGATTTTTTTGCAACCGTTGGAAAAGTTCGTGATGCAAAAATAATTGCAGATAGAATATCCCGGAGGTCAAAAGGGTATATATTAGATTCCTAATTTTTAATTTTAATGTACTTGCATTAAATAAATATTACTTTAATAGGGTTGGTTATGTTGAATTTTATGATGAAGAATCTGTCCCAAAAGCTTTGGCTTTGACTGGACAAAAACTTTTAGGCATTCCAGTTATTGTCCAATTAACCGAAGCAGAAAAGAATCGACAAGCAAGGCTGGCAGAACAGGCGTAAGTCTCGTGTTATGTTATTTTACAATAAAGATATACTTGACTACATTTGAGTAATTTTAATAAATTTATGTGTTTAGAGCTTCGCATGCAACTGATATTGCATATCACAGACTTTACGTCGGTTCTGTTCATTTCAATTTGACAGAAGATGATCTAAGGCAAGTTTTTGAACCGTTTGGACCCTTAGAATTTGTCAATCTTCATAAAGATCCCGAAACAGGACGATCACGAGGTTTTGCTTTCATTCAGTAAGTTTTTATTCTATTAGGTCGAATTTTCTTTATGATTGCATTTATTTTTGATGATTTACAATGAATTTTACATCAGATATAAGAATCCAGAGGACGCAAAACAAGCGTTAGAGAAAATGAACGGATTTGAATTGGCTGGAAGAACAGTATGTTATAAAATGATTTATGATTTATCATTTATTTCACAAATATTTATGTATATGTATATTTATATTTATTTAGATCAAAGTAGGTCTAGTTACTGACAAAAGTAACGGCATGAATTTAAATCTTGATGATGGCGGTTTGTATTGCATTATCCTTTTTAGGAAATCGTTTTTTGTAAAAAACGCTAATAACGATTATTATTTTTTTATAGATGTTGCTGGTTTAGCCCTCAACGCACAATCACGTGTTGAATTAATGCAAAAATTAGCACGTGATACAGATTTGATTGCTCCAACCGCAACTCCTATTCAATCAGAACCGTTAGTAGCATCTTTGTTTCTGTTTCAATAAATTATATAATGAAAAAGGATATTAATTACTTTTTGTTTAAAAAAAAAAATTGTAGTCCGCGCCCAGTTCAACCTAGAGTAAATCCGACTCGTTGCGTCCTATTGAAAAATATGTTTAATCCTGACGAGTATGTTTAAATTTTAACTTTCTTTAATATTTGACAAAATATCGAATCTTTATTAACTTTTATTATTTATTCTTCAGAGAAACTGAGTCAAACTGGGCTGAAGAGCTTGAGGAAGACGTGAAAAGTGAATGTATAAAATACGGACCTGTTGTCCATATTAGTGTTGATAGGGAGTCGGCAGTAAGTATTTATTCACGTATTGATTTATTTGTTAATATACCTATTTTATGTAGTTCTAAATACATATAATTCTTTTAAGGGGGATATTTATATGAAATTTGATAGTGTATCGTCCGCTCAGGCTGCAGTGAACGGTCTTAATGGCCGATGGTTTGGGGGAAATCAAATATCGGCAGTTTTCATTCTCGATATGTTTTATAACGTTCGGTTTCCTAAAGCCGCAAATCTATAATATCTACTTCATTACACTCGGACTATTTCTTAGTTTTATCAGACTGATCGATTATTGTTTGTGGATAGTTTTTAGGTGTTTTTATAGGAAGGAGATAACGACTTGCCATCATATGAAGGGGGAGTCTTTGCATTCTGTGTGCGTCCGGGTCGCACCGTTGAGAAGGCGATGCAAGAGTAATTTGTTCATATTTGTGTGTCATTGTACTATAAACCGTTTTCTCATGTGGCATGTTGAATTTATTCTTTATACAGTAGTTTATATGAAAATTACCACTGCGCGAAGCTATCATTATGATATCATACATACACAAAGGGTTGCAAGAGAAGTTACTTTTTTTTATACTTCATTTCATCTTTTTTCATTTCACTTCATTTGTCCTTTTGGTTTTTATTGTATCTTTTGTTGACTGTAGTTATAGGATAAACTCTCAATCGCAAGGCCAGTAACTTTCGAATAAAATTGCTGCCATATAACAGGTGTGCCGTGGAACGAAATTCTTGGTATACGGATGCCCATATGAATTTTGATTTTTGCTTTATTTTTTCATTTTTTTTTTTTTATTTTCGGCACCGACGCGCTGCATTCTACCAATTTTTTTAAAAAAAAGTTTTAAAAATGACAAAAAAGACCAGTTTACAATATCCTGTATCAGGTAGATAAAATAAATATATTAAATCAAAACGCCACAAAATCCTGATAATTCCGATTCGTTTACCGAGGTATCATCATATTGTATTATAATAAATGACGGAATATTTGAATTTTCACGATTGCCAAATCGTGATCTTTTTGTTCAAGTGATTTTGGAGTAACATTATATAAATAATTCTTGTGATGATGTTATTCAACATACTCGAAACTAAGAAAGATAAAAGTTCTCAGTGTATCAACTGAGAAAAAATCCCAAATTCATCTACTTCTCTACCTTTGCAGGTGTAACAATACCATTTTAAAAGTCATTAACTCGTAATATTTTCAGAATATATTAGAAAATTATACCTTAAAATATACCTTTGACGAAAATCTTGTAAATCTCTTGAATATTCCAAGATCTGTCAAAATCGTCTGTGACGGTGACTGGCAAATAAAAACGACTTACTGTTTGTCGTAAAATAAAACATTCCTTTTCTTAACCTTTTCTATAAGTTTTCTTTTTATAGCTGGCGAATTTTCAGATGTCTGACGTTGAAGACAATAAAGCTGATTTAAGTGAGTTTGGCAAACATCCATCTGCTGATTCGTCAAAGTCAGACACCAACGTCCAGACGCCTGCAGGAGAATTAGATAATGAAAAAGTACCTGAAGACGCGAAAAGGGACGAAGAAAAAAATAAAGTGCAAACAAAGTCCGTGATCCGCTATACGAAAGAACAGTTACTGGCATTGCGTAATAGCCCACTTGTGAAAAAACCAGATGCTTTACCTCCAATCAATACTTGGTTTGGGTAAGTCTAAATTTTAATAGTTTGCCTGTCATAATGTACAATTACATTTAATTACTTGCACTGATTAAATTCGTCTCTTTGTAGAGAAATAAAGAAAGAAAAGAAAGTTGGTACTGATGGTGCTGTAGAAACCGAAAAGAGGTATTATAAATGTTAAACGTTATAAATTTATATACATTATATATTATTAAGATATTTTGATTATATACATTAGTAAGAATAACAATTCCCTTGGATCAGAATTAAATAAGTCAAAAGATGACTTAGGAATTCCAAAAAGTCCTTTATTGGGGGTTTCAAAAAGTCCTAACGATTCTGCACCAACATCTCCTAAACCAACAGGTACGAATAATGAATCAGAATTCTATATTTAGCATTTATTAATATATTAAATTTATTCAATTAGATAAAATTGTTCTTGGCCCACCCAAAATGAATTTCGCTTCATCATCTGTTGGAGGATTAAAAATTGTGGAAGAAAAAACAGCACCGCCAAGGGCTGGTAGATCAGATGGAATACGACAACGCCAAGTGAGTGTCTTATTGGCCTAAGAGTGCTTTTTAGATAATAATATTGACTTGATGAGTATTGAATGATAGGGAGAGGACATTTCATATGTGCGATCTGGAAAAGACTTTGAACCACGAGCACCACGAGGACCGTCTGGTGGCCGTGGATTTGTTGGTAGGGAAGCATTGCGAGAACGTGCTTTAGCAGAAAAAGTAACAAAAGAATCAACTGGGCCTACTCACGGAACACATAGTCGTGGATTAGGAAATATACGGTCTCATGAAACGAGTAGAAACAATCGTAGAGAAGGTAAAGATAATTATTATGAGAATTTCAATTCAAAAATAACATTGGAATTTATATATTATTTTCATACACATATAGGCATTGGAGGGGGAAGAAATACTTCAAAATATCAAGCCGATGACAGATCGGAGACTCCCGAATGGATGAATTATAATCCACAAACCGATGAGGATACAAAACGCATTGATAATGGTGAAGCTGGTGATAAAGCCATGTTCGATCTTCAAGCTTGGAAAGTGCAAATGAAAGAGAAAGATAGGGAACAACGAGAACGCAATGAAAAGGAAAAGACTAAAGAACGAAGGGAAACAACGGAAAAAGGTCGAGCGCGCAGTATTTCGCGAGCTGACAGTAGTGCATCATGGAGGCCAGGAAATAAAACATTGACTACCGAAGAGACTAATAATGCTTCAAATGATAAACCTGAAAGATCCGTACAGAATGGATTAAAGGAACAAAATACAACGGATTTAGATGGTAATTATCTAAATTTCTATATTACATTCGTGTGCGTAACATTAACGTGCAACATTGATGTTGTATATGCTATTGTCATTATTTATGGATTAACTTATAATAACTACAACATTTGAGGACGTCATCGTTTGATATTTAGATTCTTCAAATTCATTAAATTTGGCCGATGTGGATCAACTATTTGGCCCTGGTGGGATGGACCTGAATGCTCCTTTACATCCAGGCTCATCAGCTTTTAACAAATTCCTTTCTCAGCATAAACTTGCCATGGCTGAAGACAATGGACCTAAAACTGAAAGTATATCAAGTATCTCACATGTAGAGACAGTTCCTCGAGAACAAGGAAAATCTCGTTTCGCCAGATTTTTCTCTCATAGTAATGAGGAAAATTTTCAAGAAAATGGTCATATAGAAAAGTCTTCAACGTTTCAAGTGTCCCAGAATCTTTCATCATCAACAAGCGAATTATTAAAGCCTGGTCCAATCAGTCTTGATACTTTATTTCAAAGTCAAGTTGCTACGCCATCCACTACAGCATCTATTTCTCCCTGCATTGTACCAAGTGAAGAAACACGGGTTCTTCCTGGAATGCTTACTGAAGAAGAAGTTTTGGAAACTTTGGGAGCGAAACCACCTTCCAAATCTGAACCAAAAGAGCGAAGTTCTGAAGATGAGGCTGCTATGTTTAAAATATATGCAGCTTTGAAGAAGGGTCCTGTACGTTATTTTATTTCTATATTGTCGCATTATCGAGCGTATATTTTAATTTTTTTGTATTACTAATATCATAATTATAACGTTTCTAGTCATCTTCAGATTTATCAAGTCAGTTATCACATAATCTGTCAACTTCATCTTCAAATCAATCTCTACAACCTCATAATCCGGTGGTTACAAGTTCAGGTTTACCTTTTAATGACCCTTCTATAATTAGTACTCAAAAACATGCCTCAATAAACAAAACCAATCAATCATCACAAAAGATTGATATTTCTAATCGACATATTGGTATTTCTGAATTAGCTCCAAATGATTCAGTTAAAAAGATTAACATGCTCTTTGGTGGAAATGTGCCAACTTCTGTATATCGTCAGTTGAGTTCAAGGTCAGATAATGGTTCCAGAGAATCATCAACTGCATCTTCGCCGGCATTGAAATTCAATCCCAAACCAAACATTTCCAGTTTTCCACATTCGCCTCAATCATCAGCAAATATTCCTGATCTTCATTCATCGGTTTATAAATCTCCACCTTCTCGTTCTCCTATTCTCCCTCAACAAAGCCACAACTCGTCACAATATCATAGTGTAGTTCCACCTTTTTCCAATGGACCAAACATTCCTCAACATACTCAACTTCGACAAGAATTTCCACCGCCCGTTGGTCGCAATATACCTGTGGAACAGTTGTTTGGTATGATACCACCACCACCGCGTAATGTTTCTCAACAAATTCACCCTCAATTTCAACAACCTCCAATGACTTCATCAATGCCACCTCAAATACCATTTGGTTATCAACATCAACACGATCGTTATTCACAACAACTTCAATATTCTGGGCCTCCACCAATACCCCCACATCTTTCTGTAACACATCATCCTGGATTGTTACCTCCTGGCACAGAGGCTCTTTTTGCAAATATGCACGGATATGCACAATTTATTCCAAACCTTGTTAACAATGCAATGGCGCCGAATACTATACCTGGTATTATATTTAAATTATTTAAATATAAAATCTTCTAAAAAAAAAAAAATTTATTTCATTAATTTTCCTTTTTTTTAGGTATGCCTAATAGCACAAATATGCAACAACGTGGGATGATGACATTGGAGGAAATTGAAAGGAGAAGTCTTGGTGGCCGTTAGATTTCAAAACTTCATTTAAGGACATGTATTACTTTATTATTTTTTTTTTCGTTTTTTTTTCCTATGCGTCCATATTATATTTTCATCACACCATCCTTCTTTTTATATCTTTGAGAAATACACTGTAATTACCACAAAGCCTATACATATATAATTCAATATTATTTTTCAGCTGTCATAAATACTAGTGTAATGTTTTTTTAGAAAAAAACAGGTAATATACAATTCGATTATCGGATAATCCCTATTATTACCATACGTCGATCATTTGTTAAGTTCTAGAATACCTAGGACAGGTACTCCCGTCTTCGTGAGATGAGTATATTATCATTAATTGAATATCAGTTAGCGTGGCCCTGTTAATCGTCTCTAGGTACTCTAGGTAGAAGATTGACTGAAAATACCAGCTACCAAATAGTACGAGTTGGATATTTTCAGTAAAATTCAGAGGTTTTTGAGAATATTTATGATTTATAACGCCAAATTAAAAGGGTTCATATCAAGCAAATGGAATTTTCATTTGCAATTTGTACAATATATAATCTAATGAAATCCCAATTACCAACCTGGTAGCTTTGTAAGGAATCATTATTATTACATTAATAATTAGTCATTCATTTATCAGTATTATTTACCAAATGAATTTATTTAAGAACTATTATTAGAAACTTTCATAATTATTTAATATATAAATAATTTTTTTGTGCATTAATTTACATATTAGATTTAAAATGTGTTTTATTATAATAATAATAATTAATTGAGTGAATTAATTTAATAAACCATTATATTAGTAAAACAATAAAATAAGTTATGTAAAATTTTATTTAAATTAGTACAATTAATATCTGTTTAATAAATTTTATTATAATATATATTTACTATTGATGGATGGTAAAGTGATAATAATATTAGATTTAGTATATATCAAAAGGTTCTATTAATTTAACTTTTCTATTTTTTTTAACTTTAATCTTAAAATGCAAATACAGTTTACCCTTCCTATAGCGAATTTTTATATAATGAATCACGTGACGCTTAGCCAAAAAAATATGTCAATTTTCCCTTGCTATAACGAAGTAACCAATCAAATTCTTCAAATTCTTCGTTAATTTGCTATAACGAATTTGATGTGCAGAACGGTTTCTTCGCTATATCAAGGGTAGATTGTATATATAATATGGAAATCTATATTTAATCAATTTCTAAGCTACAGTAATTTTATATTATATGATCTGTTAAAAATTTTTTATTACAAACAAAATAAAATATAAGAAAAAGTGGATTTTTGCAATGTAAAAGCAAATAAAAGTTATATATTATTCAATTCAAATTATTAATTCAGATTAACATTATTATAATACATGAAATTAACCCAAATTATTATATTTTGGCCAATATATTTTGCTTCAAATTTAAGCCAATTATATAAAAATTAAATGCTTATAACTTTTTATATAAATCTTTTTTTAATAAAACTTAAATTAAAATTATGGCTGATTGCATAAACCATTTTTTTACAATATGCTTTCTTTAAATAAATTTATAAAAAAAAACTTTAATGATAAAAAAATCATTAACCTTATAGCTGATTATCTGGAAAATTTCTTTACTAATATACTTAAAATGATTCTGGGTATCCTTCACTCTACTAGTAAAACTGGTAGTATTTCATAAACCCTAAAAGAGTTGAAGTCAGAAACATATAGTTGTATTGAAAAACTTTTTACCTTATAATCAGATAAACTTTAGGCAATAAATAAAAGATAAAGCTAACCTTTTTTATTTTGTATGGTTCTTTCATCTGATTTGAAAAAGAAAATAAATCCAACTAATAACAGTCCAATCTAAAGCTCTAAACAGATCAGATCAGTTCCATTTTTTAGTTTTTTTCTGATTGATTGGAATCTGTTTTGTATAATAACTTACCATCCAGTAATCGTAGAAAGCTGATTAATAGCTTGTTGAAATCATCTCATTAAAATGGTTTGAATAGTACTAAAATTATTTTTCTAATATTAATAGATGGTAAATTGAAATTGCTAATTTTTCAAAAAATAACTCAAATACTAAAAAGATGATTTTAATACTATTTAAACTGTCTTAATAAAATGATTTCAATAAACTATTAATCAGCTTTCTATAATCATTAAATAGTAAGTTATTATGCAAAATAGATTTAACTAATTAAAAAAAACTAAAAAATGGAACTGAACTAAATCATTCAAGGCTTTAGTCCAATTATTCAGAATGTTTAATATGCAAATGGAAATTTTTGAAAAGCAAAACCACCAATCACTAGTTGTATTACCTGCAACACAAAATAAACTTTTTGATATATAATATATAAATCCAGCCATTTACCCTAGAAGATAAAAATAAACAACTTACTTATATTAAAATTATTACTAAATTAGATTCTAATAATTCTTAACCTACATTATCTATACCAGTGGTTACTAAATGAAATATTTAAAATAATACTTTTAAAAAAAGTAGTACATTAATATATAAACTGCAGTAGTAAAAAATAAAGAAAAAATCTAAACTTATACTGACAAAAATTATATTAACAGTTATAATTGAATATATATCTAAAAATATAGCTAATGTCTGCAAAATTGTTATTTATAATATTCCTTCCACTATAATACCTTAGGATTTGAAATTAAATTATTGTAATGAAAATCAAAATGCAAAAGAAGTATATGATTAATGACTGTGATTGTATAAATCAACTTTAACAAGTGAATTTTGCTGAATTGGAATAATGGAATTTGGACAGCTTTATTTAAAACCCTATAAAAAGTCTTTATACTTAAAATATACTTTTAATATACTTGTTTTTTGCCCAAGTACTTAAATTATATTTAAAATATACTTAAACTAGAATTTAAATACAATATAAGTGTATTTTTTACATGTTTAAATGTTTAAAATATTCTTAAAATATGCTTAAATTAAAATTTAAGTACAATATAAGTGTATTTTTTATATTTTTAAAATATACTACTTAAATTAAATTTTAAGTATATTTTAATAATATTTTAAACATGTAAAAAATACACTTATATTGTACTTAAATTCTAGTTTAAGTATATTTTAAATATAATTTAAGTACTTGAGTAAAAAACAAGTATATTAAACGTATATTTCAAGAGTATTTTAGGTACATTTTAGATATAATAAATGTAATTTTAGTAATAATCTGATAATCTAATAATCTAATAATTTTTTTATTAAATGATTTATATAGAAGATAGTAGAATAAAGATAAAATTAATTAATTATAAAAATTTAATTTAATTTATATATTTTTAAAATTAAATATTAATAATAGAGTATTGCTAAATCTCACCGGTAGTGATTTTCACCGTTATTAACGTTAGCAGAAATTATGATTTAACCAGAATTATAAAAAACTTTTTTGCAAATTTTTACCAAGAAAAAAAATTATATGTAAGTAGTTTTTTTAAATATTGAATATGTTTTACTTAATAAAAAAACTTAATTCATAATTCAAATAAGAATGAGTAAGTAATTTTGTGATCCTAAATGTAGGTGTTCTTACATATATAAATCCATCAATTTTTAGCCAAATCATTTGAAATTTTTACTGAAAAAACTTTAAGATTGGCTCTATCATATCTGAATATTTAATGTAATATTTATAAAGCTCAAAAGTTTAAGAATAATTGCATAATAGGCGTAATAAGAAATCAAAAATAAATCAAAAAAATTTTTCATGAATTTTTTTAAAAAAAATTCTTGATTTATATTCAGAATATATGTTTTTAGGGAAGTGCAATCTATTTTTAAACTTTTAAAATTAGTATTTAATTTGTATTCTATGTACCAATAGAGAAAATCACTAATTAAATTTTAAGTAAATAAAAAAATCATTATTTGTGATTATCCTATGATCCAATGATTCGACTTTAGTGAACATTTTTTTATTATGTAGCTCTTTAAGCTCTCTATAAAATAAAAAATCTTTAAAATTAGACCAATAGATCGTGAGATAATCACAAAAATAATTTTTTTCAGAATATATTAGATAAATGCAGCTATCCTTTGAAAAAACTCATTTTTTGCAATTATCTCACAATCTATTGGTCCAATTTCAACAATCTTTTTTTTATTACGTAGAGAAATTGGAGAGCTACATAATAAAAAAATTTCATTGAAATTGAATTACTGGATCACGAGATAATTACAAAAACAAGTTTTTTTTTTATTTTTTTCACTTTATTTTTACATGAATCACAAATTAAATACTAATTTTAAAAGTTTAAAAATAGATTAAACTCCATAAACACTGGTCGAAATCAAAACTTTCGACCGTTAAGAGCTTTCGGCATAATTTTTGCCGATTGGTCATGTGATTCGTCACATTTTTTGACCAATGGCAAAAATCGGTAAAATCAATGAAAAAAAATCGACCAATAACTTTTTGGTCGATATTTTGTAATTATGTATCACATGCATTACGCGATACTACTATATATTAACCTTATTTAAACTTTTTTTTTCTCACACTTTCGTCTCCCCCCTTTCCACTCACTTTACTTTTCCACACACTCCTTCGTCACCCTTTCGTCTTCCCCCTTTCTACTCACTCTTTCGTCTCCCTTTCCCTCTCACTTTTTCGTCTTTCCCTTTCCCCTTTCTTTCGTCCATTCCCTCTTCCTTCTTTTTAGGTGACGCCTCGGCTCTTTGGATACGGTATTTCGGTAAGTTTTTAATTTTTTTTTATTTCCCTTGTTTTCGCCTTAATAAACTAATTTCAAATTTTTTTTTTTAGTTATTCGGCTTTTAGACGCGTGGGTACTTCGGTAGGAGAGTTAGATTTTTTTAAAAATTTTATTTAACGAAACGTTTACTAACGTTTTCGTTCTTTTTTTTGTAGGTTCAAGACGCCCTCGAGCATCGAAATAAGAGATGACCGGTAAGTTTTGAAGTTGGGTTAATTTCGAAACTTTAAAAGAAACGATTTACTAATTGTTTCTTTCTTCTTTTTATAGGCTTTCACTTCGGGCTGATGGATCGGGTAAGTTTCAAAATATTTCGAAACTTTTTGAGATTTTTTTTTATAAAAGAATCGGTTTGCTAACCGTTTCTT